ATGAATCGAGATTTCGATTTGGGGTCGTTTTATTTCTTCTTTTCCCCTTCCTTCTTCTTAATGAGAAATTCTGATGTTTTGGCGATGAAGGCTGTTAATTTGTTTTACTGTTCGGTGATAAAGAATATGATTTTAACTTGAGATTCTGATTTTCCCCCTGCATTTCGGTTTCGATATGAGCCTCATGACTTGGAATTGATGATCTGAAAATACCATAGATTTGGAAGATTTCACTTCTTATATGTAATGTTTACCTTTATAATCGTTTGATAAAGGGGCTGTTATTGATTGATCTTTCTGTTTTGGAAACTTGAATGATTTGGGGAAGTAATCTTAAATTAGCAAATAAATAGCATAAAATTGTTTTATGATCGATTCTTCTATTTGATGTTTATGGATTCAAGTTCACCAGTTAGATTGGTTCTTTTATTGATTTGGTTTCATTTGGATTTGCAGACATATGATAGACCCTTTATCCAGCAATGGCTGAACGCAGGCAACAGGACTTGCCCTAGAAACCAGCAAGTTCTTTCTCACACGATTCTCACCCCGAATCACCTGATCAGAACGATGATATTGAAGTGGTGTACGAGCCAGGGGATAGAATTATCGAGCCTTGTGCAGAACGGTCGAGAGGAGGCCATTACCGAAGTGGAACGTGACCGTTTCTTTTCTTTGCTCGACAAGTTGTCTGCTGCGCTTCCCGAACAGAAGGAAGCAGCAAAGGAGCTTCGGCTGTTGACAAAAAAAATGCCTTCATTCCGGGCTCTTTTCGGCGAATCCGTCGATGCCATAACCCGACTGCTCACCCCACTCTCTGGAAGCAAATCTCAGAGTAGTGCTCAGCCCGATCTCCAGGAAGATGTGATCACGACACTCTTGAACCTTTCGATCCATGACAACAATAAGAAGCTCGTCGCTGAAACTCCAATGGTCATTCCCCTTCTCACGGAAGCGCTGAGATCTGGAACTATTCAAACGAGGAGCAATGCAGCTGCAGCCCTTTTCACTCTATCCGCTCTTGATTCAAACAAGGCACTAATTGGTAAATCTGGTGTCATAAAGCCTCTCATTGATCTTCTAGATGAGGGTCATCCATTAGCAATGAAAGATGTTGCTTCTGCAATCTTTAACCTGTGCATTTTCCATGAGAATAAGGCAAGAGCGGTCAGGGATGGTGCGGTAAGGGTCATTTTAAAAAAGATTATGGATGGCGTTCATGTCGATGAATTATTGGCTATTCTTGCAATGCTTTCGACTCATCAAAGGGCCATTGAAGAAATGGGGGAGCTTGGAGCTGTTCCTTGCTTGCTTCGTATTATCAGGGAGAGCAATTGTGAACGGAACAAGGAAAACTGCATCGCAATCCTGCACACCGTCTGTCTTAACGATCGAACCAAGTGGAAGGTGCTACAGGAAGAAGATGTTACCTATGGAACGATATCTAAGCTTGCTCAAGACGGAACATCTAGAGCCAAGAGAAAGGCTAACGCCATTCTCGAGAGACTGAGAAGGGCCATTAATATTACTCATACCGCATGAAGACACTACTCGATGCAACATCACCAAGTGCATCATTTGTAAATTCTGTTTCCAACACCCGGTCACCGCGCCTCTTATCGTCAAATCCAATTTTGTAAATCCTTGTCCCTTTTCACCTCAGGTATAATGGTTAGCCACTGTTAATAAACACTTTGCGCGAGCTTATGTTTATAAGATGTTCTCTTTGTTTGAATTTTAAAGGTAACAGAATAATGGCTCTCTTTTTAAGCTCGTTTTCCTTTGCATCCACACATGTTCTTATTCGTATCCCGGTCACGCATTACATTCTTTCCTTGCACTTCATCCTTGAATTTATGCTTGAAGGAATTAATCTTCTAACTTCTGGAACTGTCTTAGTTTCGTCCATATCCCTATTCATCGGAGGTTGGACGAACGAGTGTCGAGCCGATTTTTCTTTTTCGGCTGTGGATGATTGATTAGTTTGAACTAAAAAGTTGAATGAATGGTCCTTAAAAAGGGTTAAATATGGGACGGGAAGAATGCGTCCATATTGAATGATTTGGTAATTTCTGGTGTTGTGGTCCAATCCTGTTTCCCTGCCTGTCCCGCCCCCAAAGTCGTCAATGCAACAGTAAATGCCCCTACAATACCTACGAAAAGGAATGGTTATGACTCATTTTCCTCTTCTTGTAGTCTCCCCTTCATTGAGTGTTTGAAGATCGAGTTCCGTTAAACAAGGTTTACGATGGTGATATATACACCCATTGCCTTTTTAAACGAATACGGACCGGACTACATCTCGAGCTCACTTCATGATGCAGGGTGATGGTGGAAGTACGAGAGAGGTCGTTACGGTGTATGCTAAATCAAACAAATTGAAACCACCAAAATGGGTCAACCACGTGCCACTGTCGACTGCTTGCTCGTAACCTTGCCAAAGTGAAACGCGCATGCTGTCTGCCCGCTGCTGTGATAGCCTCTAGTCCTACACACGGGTCGATTGGTGAGTGAGTTGCCATTTCCCCTTATAAAAATATCAATTAAGGCATTTATAAATCGTGTAAATTTTAAACAAATCAACCTTATTTCTTTTTTTCCCCTTAAAATGAGAAAATGGGTCACATCAGAAGTGCAGTTTCCTTAGAGGTTGAATCATTGGTGTCGACGGGATAAGATAGAACTGAGCAATATAATTGGTACACGTGCTTTTATGTTGTTTTTTTGGATATTCCAAACCAAAAGAAAAATCGAAAATTAAAAGCATTTGTGATATATATATATATATATATAATGAATGGAGAATATAAATATCCCCATAATTATAACAAACAAAATCATGTGCATTGAAAAGAACCCATTGAAGTGACCTACTAAAAATAATAAAGGGAAGAAAACGAGTGAATTGGGATGACATATAAAGATGGGCATGACACTCGAACTCGATCTGATCAGGTCGAATTTTTTTTAAAAAATCAGGTTCGACTTTGGTGGAGGGTGTATATTATGCGGGTTAGGTTTGATTTCGGGTGGAGTCATTATTTTCGGGTCGGATCGGGTCGGGTGGACCAAAAATCCGACCCAACCTGACCTATTCTATCCCTAGGCATATTGGCTTTTCTTATCCATATCGACATAAATTCAAATTCTACCCGCTAAATTTCTTTACTTTTTATTTTAATCCTTTATAATAAAAACTTCAATTACTTGTCATTTTAAAAAATAATTATTATATCAATTGAATCCGTGATGTAATAAAAAAAAATTACACTAAAGCCTAGTTTTAATTCACATAATCTTGATGGCCTTCTCTATAAAGAAAAAAAAAAAAACAAGCTTTTGGCTTTAGTCAAATTCATCGGCCAATCTATAGTAACATTTGCGTAGAATTGCAAAATATTCTTCACCGACACAAATATGAGTATTAAAGAAGCTTGAAATCGCCTGTTTAAGGTTTTCTTTAATAATTTATTACATAATTTTATCCACTTGATTAGACAAAAGAAGTACTGTTTGTTGGAAAATGTTTTCTTGTGGGCCTAAATGTTCTTATGTATTATTTTAATTTATAATATTAAAGTATCTGAATGTGTTTTCCTTCGATAATCAAATTAAGCTTTGATCTTGTAGTTACGAAACAATAAAATAAGGAACGTGTAATTTGATTTCATCTTAGCTGGCATAATAAGGAACGTCCGTCAACCGATATTGAATGTATCTTGAAAGTTTAGAGCTGAAAATAGTTTAACCACAATAAATAATATAAATCAAAGGATTAAAAATAAACAATTCTTTTTATCAACAGAGTTGGTTCAAGTGGTAAGTAGCTTGATATCGCTTAAGTAGGATTCAAATTTCAGTCATTGTGCATGCAGAAAATTCATGCTGGGAGACTCGCCTACCAAAATCAAGTGTGTGACCCAAGTTGATTCGGACTAGTTAAGACGAAACTAGGAGAACCGGAAGAAAAAAAGAAAAGAAAAACTTTTCAGGATGAAAAGAAAAACGGTGCATGTCTCCATTGTCGATACCTAAATAACAGACAACATGAAAACATTAAATAGTTGAGAAACGTCGGTCCTTTGGGATGGTGGGGAAAAGGAAGAATTAGGACATTGGTGTATAAATGAGCTGTGATAATTTGATTCATATGAGCGTCCTTTAATGGAAGATTAGCTGATGGGTTATTTTCAATGACAGCCCACAAAACCAATGATCAATGGGATATGTCCAAACATCACAATGGAGAGGAGATACATGCAATTTAAACGACGAATAGTCTTTCTATTGGACCAAGGATGCTCAAAATAGTAAAATCACAAACAATCATTCGACCATGCATTTTATTTTATTTCATTTGGTTGTGATTTTGTCTATTGATGTGATACCAACCGCCTATTTCGATCATGGAATCATTTTAAATCATGTACTTCTGAAATTAGGATGGAACGAGGCTCAAAGTGCCTACGCAATCCTTGTAAAGGCCTGAGTTTAAGGTGGAACGAAAGGTCCAATAATGCACATATTCCCGTAAATCATTCCTCTTGATCTATTACTGAATCAAATTACTTATTCTGTTTTGTTAAACACTTTAAAATATAAAGTGAAGTCAAACGTTTTGTTTAAGACTGCAAATCAGAATATAATATTATTATACAAGTTTAAAACACGATTTTAGAATAAATAACAAAGCATGTGTAGTGTACACTTCTCTTATTTAAACTATAACCCACCATTTAATAGTGATTAGTGTACCTATTAATTCCATTCAATGACCATAGTCGACTATCAGTTTCAGTTTGCACAATGCCGGTTCATAATAATAAAATTTTACATTGATTAAAACCTCAACTTACTATTAATCCTAACCTATAAACCCTAAACTTATCACACACCATCCATTCAACTCTACTTGTGCAGTTTTTTGAAATTATTTGAAAGCAATTTTCCTATATTTAAATATGCATCAAGTGTAACTTTGGTTGTAGCTTATAAGTTCAATAAATATAATAAAATTTCATTTGATAATCTTGACATAAGCATGCAATTCAAGCAATAACAAAAAGAAAACCGATCCAAAATTCTGAAACTTACTAGAAGATTAAATGTATACTGAAAAAGCAAACCAACATTCAAAATGGGTCAACCCTTTTACTCGTCCTCTTGGCTGCGCAACCTAGCCAATTTGTTGGTTACAACAATGTCCAACTGTGCGGCGCGCTCAACAATTTCCTTCCTCTTCTTTGTTGAAACATCATGGGCTATCTCGGCACAGTATGTCCTGATATTGCATCAATAATTAGGAAAAAAAAGAAGCAATAAAATGCTAATCCACAAAAAAATGTGGTTAAAAGGGATATATAAAGTATACATCATACCTGTTGTGCATCATGAGAAGCTCGAGCTCTTGGACATTGTGCACAACAAACTTCTTAAATCCATTGGGCAGATAGTGGCGAGTCTTCTTGTCTGAGCCATAACCAATATTTGGCATCAGAGTGCATCCCTTGAACTTCCGTCTAACACGGGAGTCGATACCCTTGGGCCTTCGCCAGTTTTCCTGCCAAAACACAAAAAACTTGTAAAAATTATAACAAGTGGGACTCTCCCTTTTTTTTCATATAAATGAGAACTAAACTAGCCATGATGAATTAAATGTTCTCATACAGATATACATGTTTCAAGACTCTGGGATGGTGAATAAAATGACTCTTCTATTTGGAAACAAGACACAATGTGGCAAGTTGATCAAACATAAGCTTAGGTTCACGCATCCATGGTTAAGTTGCAAAAATATTGCGAGTCTAGGCACGCATAGGCTGAGAAAACCTTTATCCAGAGGATATATGACACTGCTTCATAAATATAATGCTTCATAAATATAATCGGACTCCCACATCAAGACCACGATTCAGATGTTGCATTATGAAATTAGCATGTATACCAAAGGAGTCAGCATCTAAATCTAATCTTCAATGCAAGACTCTTAGACCACACGAATCATGAATTACCCTAGCAAAAAAAATACCAATTCCCTAGCAGTCCAGTGTCTGACTAGTTATCGATCACTACCAAAAACAACCATGAGATGATAATCCGAAATATCTACACGGCTGTTAAAATAGTAAGGCATCATAGTTAACATTGTCATAGGCCGACGTGGGACTTCTAAACTTCCAGCAGTCCAATCCAAAATAAAACAGAATGGAATAAAACCATTAATGAGTTCCATGAAAATCCTCGGAAATCAGTTCCCCCATCCACACACAAATACATAATAGCTGAATCGCAAAATTGAAATAACACTTCCTGCATTGGTCATTGCAGCTCTTTCAAACAATTAATTCGCCAATGCATTTCCATGGAAGAGAAACAAAAAATGCACCTATTAAGATCTGAACAAAAATCTACGCAATTGACATTGTAAATAGAAGTGATTTGTCCAATAAATAATCTACGCAATTAGAATTCTTAGCTTCCAATAAATGGAACTAAAAATGATACGTAGTAATGAAACTATAGAGTAAACACAATGCAAAACCCATAAAAAAGCTGATTTAAAAGAAAACCTTGACGGAGATCTTGCGATCACTTTGAGGCCTCTTGAACTTCTTGACACGCTTCTTCACAATCTTCTTGGACAGCAGAGGGACTGCCATTTCTTCCTAATAAAAAATAATTAGAAAAAACAAAGCACAACCACGAAAGATGAACTAGGTTAAACAAATTAAATAGAAAGATGGTTATTAAGAGAAAAGTCTAACAGAAACGGGTGAAATTACAGATAGATATAAGAGTTACCTTGAACAAAGATTCGCCGCCGCTTGTGGAAAACCTAAAGTGGAAGCGGAGGGAGTTAGGGTTTTAAACGGGAATTTAGTAGTACTATATATGGAGGAAGAGGAGGGATCTGGTGTTTGGATTACAGAGTAGAGCTCTTTGTTCTCGTTTTTCAAGTCAACCAATATTTTATTGGGCTCTACCAAAGCCCATTGGATAAATTCATGTATAGATAGATTATGTCTCTACATCTTTCGATTATCAAGTCATTCGCTTGTAGTTTGTAATAATTAATTTTGATTATTATTATATAAATATATGGATTTTAATTTAGTTCTGTTTGTACTATATTAATCGATTATAATATGAGTTTATTAGATCAGTTTTTTTTAAGATAAGGTTGGTTTGGGTTAGGTTTTTTAGGGGAAATTTTTTGCTCAGGTAGATTTCGAGTTGAAGGTAAAAAATATTCGATCCAATCCAATATGACCTAAAAATAATATGATTATATCTTTATATATTTAGAAATAATTGCAATAATACTCTTTTTTTATATTATTTTTTCAATTAGATCCCTATGTTATTTAATAAAATTAATATTTTTTTCTAAATATATTTATTTCAATTCGGGGTCGGGTTTTTATATCAAAAGGCATATCGAGTTTCGGGTCTGTGAAGTCACCCTAAATCTAAGTTGGGTTGAATTTCGGGTGAAGGTGTATACTTTTAGGTCAATTCGAATTGGCTGAAAACCTGACCCAACTTGACTCATGCCCATCCATGATAAGTATAACAGGGGTGAACAAAATTCAACTAAAAAATTTAATTTTTTTTCCAATTTCGAGTTATTAGAATCAACTCTAATTATCGAGTCGATTTTCAAGTTCAAGTCGAGTTAAAATTTGAAAATTTCGAGTCACTTGAAAAATAAAAAATTGGGTGAGTATTTTAACAGTTTTGTGATTTAGTCCTTAATTTTCCTATTATTTCATTTTAAGTCTATTTTTATCAAAATTGAATCGCATGCTCCTAAATTATCGTAAAGTAATTATGTACTTTCAATTCCTTTTCATTAAGATCACACAAGTTCAATTATAAGATAAAGATTAAGAACAAATTTAATCAAGAATAAAACATCATTGATTAAAAAATATAAACATCAATAACTAAATTTATCACTATATATAAACAAAAAAAGTAAAAAAAAAATATGACATTACATTTGAGGTATATGATAGGATGTGAAAAGAACATTGGCTTCACGCCTTCTCCGAAACACCTACTTTTCCCTTTGTAAGGAAAAAGGAAGTTCAAATTCCATTTAGTCATCAAGTCAAAGTTTAATTTCTTCACACTCCCTCTCTCCCTCTTCCTTTTTAAAAACAAAGTATAAAGAGAACAGGGAAAATCAGTTAAAGGTAAGTAGAGCTTGACCGATTAAAATCAATAATTATGAAACTATATTAATTGTATTACTAAATAAGATATTTTCGACAATTAAGTTCCGATTACATCCGTACGTTGATTTAATCAGATATAAATTATAATTAGCATAGATAAAATTTTATTAAGATCATAAAAGTTATTTTTTTAAAATTAATATAATTAATTAATTATCTTTACATATGGTTTATTATTTTTAAAATTTTAATAACTTTTACCAAGATGCCATTATGATTTCTAATAACGTCGGGAAGAGTACAGAAGATGTGACTGAATACAAATTCACATGCTAGTTTAAACAGAAGATGCTAGTTTTAAAGGCCAGAATGTGACGTTCTCTCCTCTTTATTATCAGAGTAAAGTATACAGACTATAAAATATTATTTTTTTAGAATTTTTTATTATTAAAAAAAGTATAAAATGGTTATTTGATCACTTATAGGTTCTAAACTCGTTTTCCCCTTTAAAAAGTAGTGATTGTTTAAGTTGGACATTAACCTATCGACTAGATATGATAAAATTTGATTTCAGAATCGTTTGAGCTATATTTTATGGATCAACTCTCTATTTACATTATGTCAGTAGACTCATCAAAATATGATTTTATCATATCTTAGTCAACAAGTTAACCTCCAACTAAGACAACAATCATTTTTTAACCAACAAAGCAAATTTAAAACATATGATTAGTCGATTGATCATTTTGTAATTTTTAATATTCGAGGACTCAACAAAGCACCATCCTATAGGTGGGGGACCATTTGTGTACTTTACCCGTATTATTATTATACGATGATTAGTATAAATAAAATCGTTTGTGTGATTTAAACTCATCAAATGACCTTAGGGGGTGTTTGGTTCAAGGATTGTGGGATTCTCATGGGATGGGAATCCTGCATTCCCATGTTTGGTTGGTCGAGAATCTCATTCCCGGTAATGTTTTATTACCAATAGTAGATTTTTTGGGGTATATTACCGGAAATGTCATTACCTCCCTTCCCTTAGGTATTGTAACATTACCGGTGTTTTGGACTAAAATGCCCTTAAATTATTATTTTTTTTCAAAAATATCATTCTTCTCTCATTGAATAATAAAAATTCTACGAAGGTTAAATTACAAATTTATCCTTAATTTATTTTAGATTTACAAAAAAAAATCTATAATTAAAATTTTATATGAAGTTCAGGGGTTAAAAAAATTTTACCCTTTCATTAAACCTTTTTTATATTTTTAATTTTGTAAAAAAAATTATATAAATATTATGAATTTAATTTTTTAAAGAAAATATATAAATATTTTACAATTTGTAATATTATACAAATATATAATAAGGACAATTTGGTCAAATATACATTTCAATAATCTTTTATTCCTTTAACCAAACACGATAATCTTACATTTCTGCTAAACCAACCAAACACAAAATATAACATTCCCAGTAATCCTATTCACTGGTAATATTTTATTCCTACTGATAATCTTACATTCCGTGAACCAAACGCACCCTTAGTGGTAAAAGAAAATGTTGAGATCAAATTTTTTTTATTTTTTCAATGAATATCTTTTTATTTTTCACTGTTAATTTTAAGTTTTAATTTTTTTCATTTAATAGTCTTAAAAGAATGTAAAACTCTTAATTTTATACAATATATAATAAGATGGAACTCTATATATATGTAACACAATAAAAGAACGTTCAGAAAATCATGCGAAGATCCTCAGCTAAACAACATATAATCCGAAACTATTTTTTGGTAGACATAGGATGAGTAAGTGCATTGAACTTCAAATGGTTAAGCCTATTGCATAGAAATGACATCCAACATCAATCCATATTAAAAGGCGAACTTTATAATAAATTCCAAAACAACATGTATGATTTGATACTTTGATCATGATTAATAATTAATGTTAGGTTTGTAAACGAGCTAAACGAACACGAACGCGATATGTTTATGTTCGTTCGTAAATGAACGAACGCGAATATAAACAAACACAAAAAATTTTATTCGTGTTCGTTCGTTAAGGAATGTAACTTGTTCGTGTCCGTGTATGTTCGTTCATTTAAATAATAAACGAATACAAATGAACGAACATAAACGAGCGGATGTAAACGAGCACGATAAATGAACATAAACAAATGAACGTAAACGAACACAATAAATGAACATAAACGAACCTCCACAAACATAATAAATGAATATAATCGAACACAATAAATGAACGTAAACAACAACAATAAAATAAATCAAACGATCTTAATGATTATCATCATTAGAAATATCGAATTACTACATAAAATTTAAATATTCACCATCAATATGTTTATACTACAACTCATCTTGAATCTGGATAAGGAGTTCTTTTATTTATAAACAATTCGATTTAACTTAAATTTAATTTTAATTTGATAATATATATTGAAATATAATATTAATATTGGAATTATGATTTTTTATAAAACAATTTACGCAAATCATTTGAATATTGAAATTTATATACGGTTAGTAACTTTGTATTCATATTCAGCTATCTTCAACTAATAAATTAAGAAGATAAACATGAAAACCGAGAGCACTCACGAACCATAAAATCCACTTGGTTATTAGAAACGCACAACTTTCATTTCGAAAGTTCAATTGCCTATTTGCTTCAGTTACCAACACTTCGATCAGTTATTTATATTTTTTATGGGTAAACTATATTTAATTTTAAGTTTTGTATCAAATTTTACCCTTAACTTTAAAATATTTTAATTTTTAACTGAATTTTAGTTTCAAGTTCAACTGAACCGTTAAATCATTAACGACATGATGATGTGGTCATTTCTTTCGCATGAACTTTAGTTTGCATATAAATTTTGCCACAAAACTTTAAACCTCTTTAATTTGAGACATTGAACTTTAGTTTACGTATCGATTTGGTCTTTGCAAAAAACCATCAACTCCTCTAACCGTCATCGTTGCTCAATCGCCGACTACCACTAATTGTTATTCACAATAATATCGACATGAAAACATTCACATTTCACCCATTTTTTTTTCTATTCGAATTGGATTTTTCCGAGACTCACTCAAAATCGATGATAATTTATCTAAATGTTTGACGTTCTAATGCTCCAATCTCCTCTCGTTATCGTTTGATGAGAATAGTTTCAATGTATATTATTCATCATCTCACAAAAAATATTCTAAAGAATATTTGGAATTCCGAATAAAAACACAACAAACCTCCAAAACGAGGTTTAAAGGAAGTAGAAGTTAATAAAATGGGGAATGATAATGAAATAAGTTCATTAGTATTTAGAGTAACGGTAAAAGATATGAAAAACGATAACTCTTAACAATTTTAATTTTGATAAAGAATATGAAATAATAAAATACTTTTTTGATTTCCATGCCAATGCGAATCAGCTCCGAACTACTACATCGTCTATCATAGATTTGATGAAAAGAAATGATTATTATTTTTAAAGGTCTTGGGGTCGAGTATCAGTAATTGCAACGGAGATAATTGATTGTTTATTATCTTAAGAGTAATTAGAATATATATTACTTTATAATTACAATTTTTTTAATTTATAAACTCTAACTTAAAAGTTTAGTTAAGACTGCTTACAACTTAACCGAGCATACGTTTGTGTGGGTCTGTATACGTACCCAATTTTCACGTTTAAAATGAAGAAAAAAGCAAACTTGGTTATGGAAAATACTTGCGTTGAACTGCAAGAGAGTCCTGAAAATGCTCCTCACTCCAAAAAGCATTAACTGCTATCTTGCTGTTTAAGCACAAGTGTAAGCCATACCCAACTCATCCACATGCATGTATGTGTAATTGTGTATATATATAAGACCACCTCTTTTCTTTTCCCCCCCACTCTAATTATTATTCCTATTTCTTGATTTTCCCCTTTCTTTCTTTCTTTATTACCAAACATAGATCCTTGTGTATCTTCACTCATCTCCTTCTTTTTCTACCTTCCTTCGTTTCCTCAAAAAGGGTTTTTCATCTGTGCTTGAGGCAACCTCAATTAAATATTCATGGTAGGCTTGAAAGCACAAAAATGCGTGCGACTTTCGTTACAGTTGTTCATCGTTCACGTATTTTCTGTTTTTCTGGTCTATGTTTTTAATATGCTTAAAATCTTGAAGAAAGAGCTTTACGAAACGCTTTTTTGCTTTTCTTTTTGGAGATATGTATGATATTGATGTCTTGATTTGGTTCATTGTATTTGGATATGGTTTCGTATTAGTTCTTTTGATGACGACTAAAAAGGTGATGCTCATATGTTGACAGGCTGAAGAAATGGTGGTTGACAACGGAGAGTTCGAGGATTGGAGCGGATCAAAGCCGGATCCCGGAAGGCATGGCGGTGTTACGGCTGCATGCATTGCCTGTGGTGAGTTTGGTTTTGGAATTTTGTTGTTGTTTTTTTAAGTGAAGCCCCGTCACTTAGTTTGATCCATTTGGGATTAATGTTTCGTGGTTTCGTTTGTTGTTAATGGAGTTAAAATTATGCAGTGGTTGAGGCGTTAGAGAACATGGTGTTCTTATCCAACGCCACCAACTTCGTCGCCTATTTTCTCAAGTCAATGCATTACTCCGCTGCGGAATCTGCAAACATGGTCACTAATTTCATGGGGACCTCCTTTTTGCTGACGATATTTGGAGGTTTCGTCAGTGATTCTTTCCTCACAAGATTCAAGACATTCATCTTCTTTTGCACTCTCGAGTTACTGGTAACATATTTTTTTACTCAACTCCTTGTATTTTTTTTTTGATATACCAAAATTAAACAAACAAATAAAAAAAACCCAAAACTTTTCGATTCAGGGACTCATCCTGCTGACTATTCAAGCTCAAAACAGCCGATTGTTGCCGGTTCTAAACAAGAAGCCTTCCAAGACCCAAGAGGCTATCCTTTACAGCGGCCTTTACGCGATAGCGGCCGGCGTTGGTGGGGTTAAGGCGGCCTTGCCTGCTCATGGGGCTGATCAGCTTAACCACAGCAACAAGGGTCTCATCTCTTCCTTCTTCAATTGGTTCTTCTTTTCTCTGTGTTTTGGTGGCCTCATTGCCTCCACTATCATGATCTGGATCGAAGAAAATCTGGGTTGGAATTGGAGTTTCAAGATATCAGTGGTCACACTAAGTGCAGCACTCTGCATTTTCACAATGGGGTTCCCGATTTACCGATACAAACGCCCCGGTGGAAGTCCACTGACCAGAATTTACAAGGTGGAAGCAATCACAAAATTTCTACTAATTTTGTTGTTAATGGCTATAATTTTGGTTCTTAACTTTGTTTATTCGGTTCTGGGTTATCAAGGTGTTCGCTTCGGCTATCGGAAACAGGAAAATGTCGCCACCGGAGGCAGAGAATACTCAAATTTATAATGAAAAGAGAAACCATGATAAGCTCAGGTTCCTAAACAAAGCGTTAATCGGCGATTCGGTTACTGTCACCGAGGTCGAAGAAACAAAGACATTCTTAGGCCTCCTCCCCATCTTTGCAAGCACCATTATGATGAACTGTTGCCTAGCTCAATTGATGACATTCTCAGTTCAACAAGGAAACATCATGGACAGATCGCTTAACAATTTCAAAATCCCAACTCAGTCGTTGTCAGTGTTCCCTTTATTCATCATGCTGGCCTCGATACCGCTGTACGAGTATTTCATTCGCATGTTACGATTAAAGAACAACCGTCCGAGGATGCTTAACATGTTCCAACCGCTTCGGCGGATCGGACTCGGGCTGGCTCTGGCATCGGGGTCGATGGCTGCTGCTGCTATGGTCGAGGTTAAGAGGCGCGAGGCAGCGACTAACGGTGTCATCTTATCCGTTTTCTGGCTCGGATGGCAGTACTTGTTACTCGGCATATCGGACATGTTGACGCTGGGGGGAATGCTCGAATTCTTCTACTCCGAGTCTCCGGATAGCATGCGGAGTATGAGCACGGCGTTGTCGTGGTGCTCGACGTCGATGGGGTACTTTATCAGCTCGGTGCTGGTAACGGTATCCAACTCGGTGAGTGGACATTTCGGGAAAGAATGGCTGGGAGGAATGGATCTGAATCGTACACGTTTGGATCTGTTTTACACCCTCCTTTGCATCCTTAACTTCATCAATTTGATTAACTATATTTTCTGGGCTAAAAGTTACTGAAAAATATTAGAGAAACAAGAACAATACTAGTTGTTTAAACTATGCTTAATCAGTATTGTAAAGCTTAATGTTGCATTAATTAATGCTTCTTGTTCTAAGACTATGTATATGGCACAGTTGAAGAAATAGAACTATACATGTATGTAACTGTAAATAAAAATTTACTATTACAAATAATTGTGTTTACCCTATCAAATATTTTAATAATAATAGTATTAATTAATTCAAGTTTCAATATTATATTTCGAGTTTGAGTTGAACTTGATAATTTTTAGCTTGCGAGTTTGAGTTGAGTTGAGCTTACTTTTAAAGTTTTCAAGTTCGAGTCGAGCTCAGCAATACTCGAGTTCGACTTGGCTCATTTAACAAACGACGTTGTTTGGTTTAATCATTTAAAAAAAAAAAATTCTGGTTTTTCCCGATTTTTTTCCGGTTTTCAGCCGGTTCGGTTCGAAAGGTTCAACGGTTGTGGCCGGTTCTCTAATAGCGATTCAATCGGTTTAAATTGAATCGGACTAAACAACGATTCCTGATTAAACCGACCGATCCGATCCGGTTTTCAAAACAAAGTTGGGATGACATTTTATACAAGTCTTGAAACCTACCAACCAGACCATGCTTCATATTTATTTGAGACCACTAAATAAAATAATCATAAACTGTCCTTTGTAGTCAATAGCCATTTAATTGCAACCAAGGACATGATGATTCATTTCTTAAAATTGTTATCTGCTATAAATTTAGAAAAAAATATAAATAAATAATTTTGAACATTAATTATTGGAGTCTATATTATTTATGTGAAGATAAAATTGGATTTTTCATGGACTATATTATAAGGTTGGTGGAACAGTGAGTGTACATCTCGAACCAAACATGGAACTTTTAGTGTTCGATTTCAACTAGAAATCTAGAATTGGTTGCTGGGCTATGAGTCTATGACAATGGCAGACTACAAAGACTCAAATGTAAGTGTTTGTGTTCAGTTTCTCACTTACCTTTCAAGAGACTTATTGCTTTCTATCTAATCCACGCAAAAAAGATAAGGGAAAACTACGTATTTAGAACCTAAATTATTAATTTTAATCTGTTTTAGTATCTAAGCTTTTAATTTTTCCAAAATAATACCTAATAATAAAATAAAAACTAAACTTTAAGTATGATTTTGAAAGAAATTAAAAATTTAAGTATTAAAATAGATCAATATTAATAATATAAGTACTAAATACATAGTTTACCCAAAAAAATAACATAATTGTTGACTTGTAGATAGATTCTTTTGACCCAACTACTAAATTTCTTTTTAACTTTTTGCAATGACATTGATTTAAAAATGGTTAAATATCAATAGTCCTTGAACTACGTGTAAGTTATAAATATAATTTATTTATTTATTTATTTTATTTTGATTAACTTTATTCCTTATATATTGAAATTTTAGTCTTAATTCAAATTATATAGAAACGATGTGAATAAATTATAAAAATTAAAAATAATTTGATCAGAGAACACGATGTATAATGTATTTAATTTAATGTATTTAAAAGTTACTATTTAAAATAAAATTAAAATATCAAACGTTGGAAATTACATGAATTGATAAAATAAATTAATAAAAAAACTCAAAACAAAATTAGATTGTATTGAAGCATTATGGAATATATGGGTAAGGCCTCATCGTTGCCGAAAATCCAATATCCAATTTTATCTTCGCAAAGGCAACATTTTTTTTATAAAAATATAAACTTTCCATCCAGCACATATAAATATCAGATGACAAATGCAGTCATTATTTTATGACTATAACAAGACCCCCCAGGAAAAAAAAATTATATTGAGAAGCTCCAAGACTGAGATCATCTTGCACAGCACGAGATACCCTCCTTGGATGGGTTCGCACCGTCCTTGAGTGTGACTCGATTCGCGGACAACTCGCCTTTGTACGCGTCGGAGTTGAGGGCTTTCCGGCTTACATTAGTGTAGATTTCCCCGATGACGATCTCGAAAGCAGTCTGAACGTTGGTAGACTCGAGGGCGGATGTCTCCATGAAGAACAAGCCTTCTTCTTCTGCGAGGCTCTTGCCTTCCTCCACGCTTACTTCTCTAATGTTCTCCAAATCACATTTGTTCCCTACCAGCATTCTTGTCACAGTAGTATCACAATGAGCTGCAAGATTAAAAATTGCAATCGAGGGTAAAAAAACTGTCTCTAGAAAACGTAAACTTTGCAAATTTACCAGGAAAACACAGTAGTTTCCACTTTCTATTAGTTCATCTTTTTCCTGTACAAGGAAGGACAATGGCAGTGGGGCAGCAGCCGAGAAAGGTGTACTAACTTTTTGCAGAGAATCTGGAGAAGAGTTTTTTCAAAATAAAAAAAAATGTTGAACCGAACATCTGCAAATTTAGACAGTTTAAGGATGTCTGCATGAACTAACCCAGTTAAAAGCTCAAGTCCGAGTAAGGGACATTCGTCGATGCACGAACAGACCCCACCAAAATGCAAAGGTTCACACTCTCAAAAGGAGAAATAATGGTGATTTGGTGACCGTAACGCGTTTTCCTTCCCCATAAAAAGAAAAGGAAAAGCAGCTGAACATTAAAAAAATTAAACTAGACTTTTCATCACTCAACTTTGATCATGTTCCTATCCTGGTCACTAAACTTTTTAATTGTTCCATTTTTGTTCACTAAAAAATAACAAGATGATTCGCCGTGTTTTTTTCTTGACCAATTCTAAATATAATCCTAACCTTACGTAAATGAGAGGGGAAGGCTCCTATTGGGTATAAACCTAATAACCTAAGAAAATTTGAGGGAACGAAGATGAGCAGCTTGACCAAATGTGCTTGCTCATGCGCCATGTTTTTCATTTTTTTCAGTTCACTCTTTAAAAACTCCTAAAGTTTTATATCCACCTCACACTGTCGTTAACTTTGCCGTTCTACAGTATTTTCTATGACCACTCCAGATACTAACAAAGTCGAATCATCAACCTCTACTATTCTATAAGTTTATGTTTTCCAAACTCACTTCAAAACTTGCAAAACTTTAACTAAAAATCCCAAAAAAAAACCAATTTTGATCTACAATTTTAATCATTTGATCATTGTAAAAATCAGGATATATTGCTAGTCTCCTTCTTCTTCACATTTCTACCATTGGGATTTCGAAGATGTTTCGGCATCCGAATGTTAAAAGAAATCCAAAAATTTGGGTTACAAATTGGGGAAGAAAGATTTCAGGGATATTTTCACAAATTTAAAACAAAATTTTAGGGTCTTTTATAATTTTTAAAACATGGATACTATAATAGTAATGATCAAATTGAAATATCTTAAAATTTAATGATCAAAACATCAAAGTGGAATAATAAAATTTATAGTTTAACCAAAAAAGTCTGCAACAGTCGGAAGTCAAAAATACTTAAAACCCTAGCAACTACATGCCAGAAACAATGAGTATGCATCGAGAACATTTTGATTTTCTTTCATCCTCAGATGGATCTGCATTTTCTGACCGTGAGAAAAAAGATCTGTTTTTTTTATCAACAGCAGCTGAGTTTCTCTATGATTGCTAAAAGCGACAATGTGTCCAGAAAATCCAATTCCACATTATTGCTATGCCAAAAAGGATAATAAAACTATAAATTTCATCTCTTAAAAAAACCCAAATACTTTTCCATATCAAATCACATAACAAATCAATAATCCAAAAAAAAAAGGGGAAAGAAGATGATCAAGAAAGAAAGACTTACTGGTAAGTTCATCAAGCCAGCGTTTAATGCTGTCGAAGCTGCTACGCCTACTGATATCATAAACAATAAGAGCACCAACAGCGCCTCTATAGTAAGCAGAAGTAACAGCTCTGAACCTTTCTTGACCAGCAGTGTCCCAGATCTGTGCTTTAATTTCCTTGCCATCAATCTCCACACATTGGGTCTGGAACTCTACTCCGATTGTTGCCTTTGAGTTGTTGTCGAACTCGTTCCTTGCGAAACGCGACAAAAGGTTCGATTTTCCCACGGCCGAGTCGCCGATCAGCACGATCTTGAACAAGTACTCCTCGCCTCCTCCCTCTTCTTCATGCCCACCCATGTCTCTGCTATGAAAAACAAAAGTGGTGTTGGTTGTCTGAATATGGATCGTTAAAGTGTGGTTCTTTAAAGCTGGGAAGTAGTAGGAAAATGGTGGCCACGGACAAGGGTGCGTGATTGGCGGGGTTTTGATGCAATTTGCGGCGATATTTGTTCTGATTTTTGGGCTTTGAACAGAGAGTGGGGGTTATGTGGGCTTTGGGTTAAGTGGATTTACTGAATATTGGGTGAAGTTATTACAACCTTTTTTCCATGTTGCCAAAAAAGGGCAATTTGAGTCGAAATCAACCATGTGAGTCTGTTTGCTAGGGATCATGTGTAAACCTCGCACACACACTACACGGATATCATGCAAGGCACCACGATACCTTTCGTTTTCTCTCTTCTGTTTATAGTTGGAGATTTTTAATTTAATGCGAGCCCTCTCTCTCACATTTACTAAGGCAACTTCGCTTCATATTCAAGATTATATGTCGAGTTGGATCTTGACCATGATCAATCATGATTTAATATAATTCATAATTTGGATGAAAATAAAAAATAATTAAATAAAATGTTAATCTATTCAATTATTCCCATCGTCGTTATAGCCAATCAGGCGCTGCAAGTGAGCCTTAACTTTCAACAAAAATGGCTGCAACTGTGCAATCATTGTGCAGCGGAGCCGAAAACCGGAATAACATTTGTTCAATCATTTGGCTGACACTAGGAATTGAAATGCTGTATATATAGTGATGAAAATAGCTCTTTTCCAATGTCGTTTTAGTGGAAAATGATTATATTCCAATTTGTAAAAGGAGGAAAATGGTTTTTAGTTTGTTATCCCATGAAGCACCTAAACAGATTCTTATTAGCTTATGAAAGCTGAAGATTCCCTGTTTGGTTCCCGACAATCATTATTATAAATCGAGCATCTGAACACATTCATGAAGAGAACAAAAAGATACGGGGAAAGAGGATCCCCTGCCTCACTCCTCTAGCCCCTTTGAAGTACGCCACTAAAGTGCCATTGAGCGAAACGGAAAACCCATTGCTTCAAGGATAGTAATAAGAACAAATTTCCAACTGACACTATCAAACGCTTTTTGTAAGTCCACTTTCAAGGCACATCTAGGAGACATAGACCGTCTCCCATAACCGGCTACCAATTCTTGAGCCAATAACGTGTTATCCACAATACTACGCCCCTTAACAAAAGTAGACTGACTTGGGAGGATTATATTAGGGAAAACCACCGCTAGTCTATCCACCAAAATCCTGGTCACCGCCTTATACTCCGCTGAACAACAAGAAATAGGCCAAAACTCCTGCACTCGGCAAGCATTTGAAGACTTGGTAATAAGGACAAGGGACGTAGAATTAAAAGACGGCAGAACTGAATTTGTCTAAAAAAAACCACTTCACAGCAGCCCTACAATCCTCCCCCACAATGGACTAAGTCTCCTTAAAGAAGAAAGGAGAGTAGCCATCCGGACCCGGGGCCTTGTCATTACCTTGCTTAAAGAAAGCCTCCTTCACTTCCACATCTGAAATGGGTCTCGACAACATATCAGCAGCCCCTTCAGGAAGGGAATAGTTAAGAAGAACCCTCAGAAAACTCACATCACACTCATCAACATTTGCATCAGCCTTCCCAATAATACCAAGGTCACTTTGCTTCAAGGATTAGTTTCTTTTCATTTTAAAAAATTGTATGTAACTTGGATCGATCTTTAAAAACAAAAAAGTGATCTTTAGCTATAAATTAAGATATTTCTTGAACATTTGCATTTAGAAAATCTATTTACACAAGTTTTTGTCTGGAATACAAGCAAGTTGAAATCGGTTTACTCATGCCACTCCAAGTTGGATATACTAAATTAGTTCACATATTTTTTGGGACTTTATTGGAAGGCTCAAAAGTTCAGAGATTAGTTTTGGATTTAAATTTTTTTAATATGTTGATAACACACTCTACAATGTAGTTGTTTGAACCGATATCCATTAATAAAAACATTATTTCAGTAAATATAAATGGTACTCATTACCAAATTACCATGCACTTCGTCAATGGACTTTAAATATAAACTGGTAAAGACTTTCTAGAAACAATGGTCCATGTTCTCCACTAGTAATTTTTGTTGGGATAGTCGTAGAGATGCAAGGAGTCAAGAATATCTGCATCTTGATTTCCCACTTCTCCATCATCTCCACCACAAATGGCAATATTAATGAGAGCCCTACACTAAGGATTGCATCAAGTTTGCAGGAAAGAATCATGAATTTGTATTATCTACTTCTTATTTCATTGTTTCTAAGCAGTTGCAGAGCTGATCCTTTGGGGAATTTTTGCAGCCAAAACACCAACATAAGAAGCAGTCGCCAGATTTCTGTCAACATCTGTCGCTTGTTAGCCAAAGTGGTCTCGAAAACTGCCTTAACCGGCCGGTTATGTCACAACTTCCTCTGGTAAGGGCTCTGATAAAGTCTATGGTCTAGCTCAATGCAGAGAGATGTTAGCAGCAAAGACTGTTCGAGTTGCATACAAGATGCGGTGAAGGAGATACGCCAACGCTGTCCAAATCAAGCCGATGTGAGGATTTGGTATGACTATTGCTTTCTAAGGTACAGCCAAGACGGTTTCGTTGGAAAAGTTGACACCTCGTTCGGAATATTTTACTTCAATGTTGAAAACGTCTTGCACCCTCAAAGTTTCAACAAAGAACTTGGAGCTCTGATGGATACAATAAGATCGGAAGCTGTCGTGCCGAAGAATGAAGGGCTCGGAAAAGGAAAAACCGGATTGTCGCGTTCGTGACCCTTTATGCATTGGTGCAGTGCACAAGGGGCCTGTCCCAGATAGATTGTGTGCAATGCCTAGCAATCGCAGTCGGTAATTTCCCGAACTTCTGTAACAACAGGAAAGGTTGTTGGGTCCTATCCATTTTTCTTCCCACTAGGTTCAAACAACGGCACTTCAGTTGGCAAAACAAAGGTCATAGTTCGCCATTATATTTTGAAAACAGTCAGTTTTGTTTCAAAGGATTAGTTTCTTTTCATTAAATAAACTGTGTAATTGGGATCAAATAAGAGTGACCTTTAGCTATAAATTAAGATATTTCTTGTATGCTGCATTTAGTATATCTGTGTACACAAGTTTTTCTTTGTCTGGAATACAAGGAAGTTGAAACTGGTCTCGATTTTTATGAACTATATAATATGCACTCTTCGATTTTAGTTGTTGGCTTTGCCATGATTTCTGGGAAAAGGAATTGAATCTCTGATGTCAGTGAGGCCAGTGGTAAGGAGAACCATCAGGTAAAACTGTAGGCTGAATCCCGAGTGCTTGGCCGTTCCGTGCCTGCGAAGATCTAGGTACCAATCATACTGATCTCTTGACAAGTCAAATTCCTTGATCCTGAAGTCAGAAAACCGTTTCCTAAAATAAAATATTTGTCTTTGAATCCAGAAGTTCCTAAATTTTGCAGTAGACTAACAACGATGGCATTACCTTGTACTTAGCATGTCAAAGCGCTCTTCATTTTGGCTCCCTGTTATCACAGTTCCAATTTATCCAACTTTATAACCATTCTAAGCCAGGAGGTCCAGGACACATTTGTTGGTGCCTGAAGATATATGTTTCGAATTTTCTTTGCCTCTTAATAAAATTTAGACTTACCTTGGGTGCAACCATCTCAAAGGCTGCAACAGTTGTTCCATCATCGTTCAAGCATACATAAAATGGCTTAACTGCTTTCGGATAATCGTAAATAATTACAGGCCTCTTATAGTGATCATCAGCCAAGTAGCTGCCATATGAGTAAATGGATAGTAAGAACCAAACTAACATGAAAAGTCTTTTCTATCTGACGCTTTTGCATTTGGCATGAGTAGGTTAATAGTTGCATAATACATACCTCAGATGCTCGGCTGTTAGAGGGACACCCCACTGAAGTTGTGCTTCAAAAGCCTTATCTGGTACCTAACGTTAAAGAACGGAATTAAAACAGTCAGTCAGATCAAAGTTGATGTAGATATGGTTGAAATGTTAGGTGGCCTAATCTATGTAATCCGAGCTTGTTTACCTTTCTCAAAATCTCCACTGCTTCTCTATAGGAAATCTTGTCAAAAGAACTTGTTGTCATGTATTCGAGACGATGAGTAATAGTTTTGTCAATTCTTCTCGAGACAAACTTCATATCTTCTGAACAGTTAACTAATATCCATCTGCAAAGGAATTTGAAATAGTCCTCTGCACATTTCATAGAGTCCTGGAAGCTCCAATGGAAAATAATAGAACTGAGATCTTAATTTATGAAAACTCATTCAAGATGAATACGTAATAAATATGTTGTTGTTCGGATATATTCACATGTAAGCATGAAAATCACTGCAGTTTCATCACCAAAGATATAAATTACATAGCATACTTGAGCCTTGAGTAGGCAAATTCTTACCTCTAACTGTGAAAAAGCCATTTCGACCTCAACAGTCTACATTTCAGCAACATGTCTGGGGGACACTGTTATATCGGCTCGAAATCTTGGTCCGAGCGAGTAAACATGTCCGATCGCACATGCATAGCTCTACAGGTGAAGGCGACCAGAAACAGTTAAATAACTCTGGCGACCAAAGAAATCTTCATCGAACTTCACCGAGTCAGGCTTCACTGCAGTTACTGGTTTCAATTTTTCTCTTGCTTCAATCTGCTGAGCTAATTCATTCGTTTTCTGCAAATCCTGAAGACCAACAAGAAGTGCTTCTTTATTGCTGTCACTTCGCTGGAGTAGTTCAACTACACTCGACTTCTCCTTTATAGCAGCCTTAACAATTTCAAGGCTAACAGTATTGGCATCACTAACACCGAGTGTCTCCTCTTTCTTGCTTGTTTTTCCCGGAAGAGTTGTAACCTGAAACTTTTCACTGAACCCTTCAGCATCAGTAGTTGTGATGATTGGCATTTGCACATGTAAAAAATCATGGTTCCAAAAGAATGTGTGGGATGCAAAATCTAGGGTGCTTCGAATTCGAGTGACGGATGATACCTGTAATGAAAAGCATATATAAAAGAACATATTCGATTCAGTTTCAAGGTAATTTTGCTATGACACAAAGTCCAAAAGTAGCAATGGATGCTGAGA